TAGCGCATGGAATGAATCTTGCAAATTTGTTTTTTCAAGTATTTTTTGCTGCATACCGTTGTACCTACCATAATTAGAAGGTACCTGATGATGACAAAACCTTGTCGAAACGTTGTACATTTGGTGTTATATTAAAATTGTTCTTCATTACCCATTCAAGCCGTCTCCAGCCATTATAAATACTGGATTATTCGTGATGTTCCCCGATCTTTCTAGAACGCATTACGTGTCACAAGAAACACGTGACTTCCGCTGTCGTAACATTAACAATATATTGTATCAGGTGAAATTCTTAAGACACAATTCAATCTTGATTATAACGACTCTTACAGTTTATTCACTTAAGTCTTAACACATTCGCTGCCACTAGTAGTATTAATAACTCCTACCCTATTGTCAACCACACTCTTTTTTTTTTTTTTTTACTTAACCTAGGTGTCGAATATTAATATGGGTAACTATACTACCTTTAATTAGCTCATTGAAGCCACTTTTGTGTTGTGATATGTGACACCACCAATGTGTTACGCGGTGGTCCATAAATAAAAAAGTAAAAGTTGGTTGTGACCAAGTGGTGGGGCACATGGTAGTGAACGTGTTAAAATACACTTTTTACTTGGTAACAATTAGAATCCAAATAAAATCATTTAAATAATAATATACTGTTTAAGATATAACCGCTAGTTTCCATCAATCCATGTCAAAAGTTTGTCTTTAAAAGCCAAGTGGTGCGTCTTTGCAAGTTAATCGCGATGGGTGTAACAAGCATTAAGACCCGCGACGCCCTAGGTTTAAGTTTTTTTCAAAGTAATAGCGGAGTGATGCGTATTTGGAAACTTACCCCGAGTGGTGATTATTACTTAAAACCCGCGAAGCTACGAGCCTGAGACCCCGAACTTTCACTGCGAGAAGAAAATGTTATGAGGTCTTTCTCAGAATCTTAAATGTCCAAAATACGATTACGTCTTGAAAGATTTAAATTGAGACTCACTTCCAGAGTAAAGAAGAGACCCACAAAGAGTGTAATCATTTTATGTTTTTCCCTTTTAGAGTTCAATATTTCTGGAGGAGCCATATATTCGTCAACTTCCACGCGCGGAGATTTACAGAAGGTCCCTCTAAAGTAGCTTAATCGAAATAGGAGAGTGGTGTCTTCTAACCTCTCTGACGCTCTCTCAAGCTCACGAAGTAGACAACTGTGGGTTACTGTTTGTCTTAAGCATAAAATCCTTTCTGAAATAGTTACTTCGAACTAATGTTGTAGAATTTTAGTGAATGTTTTCCACAAAAACAAACTCACAGTTAATACTAACTCTGTGACCCGCATGATGTGCGTTTGTCAGTTGATATTGAACGACATAACCAATAGTATTTATGCATTAAAACAAGTACCCATACAAAATTACCTTCACAAAAGGAAATAAACGATTCTAATTTTCTATACTAACGAAAAAAAAATATAGCATCAATATTACCTAAAATACCTAGTTTAAGACACGCAATTTACAACTAGGATATTAGCCTGACGGATAAAATTTGGATGGTTATTTCGCGTACGTCACACGTATGCACATATCTACTCTCCCGATGGATTTGGACAAGGATGAGATTTCGCAGCACAACGCTGAAGTAAGAGGACTGCAAAACTTGTATTTAAACTAAGTGTTGTTAAGGTTACTTGCAGGAATGGAAAGTGTCCATGAACCCGACAAACGTGCGTGGATATCTAATCCAGTTAGTGTAAAACGTTCTTATGAACGTTGGTGTGAAAGCCTTTTTGAAAATGAAACAGAAAATGTTACAGGTTCGAAGATGTTGCAAAAACTAGTTCTCTTATTACAGTTACCTGATCATGTTGTTAAAACTTTAGAAACTGAATGTGGGTGAGTAACTACCATAACTGTAGCGTAAACATTAAAACAATGATATTAATATTATTACTATTAGTATCAGCACTCTAGGAAGTAAACATTTAAAATTTGATTTTGAACTGTACAGGTACAGTGTTATTTGTTAATGTGTCAATCTACTTAATTAATGTTACATGGTACTCTTCTACATTAAAATGTGTGTCCAGTGCTTCTTAAATTAAATTTACAGTTAACTAACATACATGAAAATGTTTAGAAAAATTTATGTTTGACTGACCAAGAAAATTTTCAAAGAATCATTCAATACTAGCTTTGTCACTCAGTTTGTGCTAAACTACAAAAAAAAAAAGAAGCATTCATTACATTGATAATCCAACTTCAGACACACCAGTTCAAAATTTCAAGTTAAAATCTAAAGCTCTTTGGGATGTTTTGTTTGCTTTAATATTACTGAATTGTACACTGCTGCCATCCTGTTCAATCAGGTTAAAATGAAAATGTTTTCTAAATAAACCATTTAGTTGAGTACACTTTACAGAAATCTATGTTTGAAATATATATGTATATCTATTCTATTTTATCAGGATTGATAAAGAGTGAAGAAGATAAAATCTGTGTCAAAACTGTTAAGAACTGTCATGAAAAACTAACAATCTCAAGAATCTAATTTTTCCATGTGTGAAACAATTTATTATAGGATTAAGGTTTTTTCATTATAAGTGAATTTGAAAGTAAGCGAAAACTGTAAATATAATGCAGACTAAGATCCATAACCCTTAAGAAATACGAAACCTGTAAGGAAATACTGTAACTGTTAAGAAGCTGTATTTTATTATGCATATTCAATGTGGAGTAATTAGGCATGAGGTCTTGGCTGGAAACTTTCTACATTCTGCTTGTTTCCTTGGGCTTTCTGAATTGAGTTAGTTTCACAGGCAATGAGAGCTATAGTGTAAGGGAAACATACATATTTTTCATCTTGTAATAATAATAATAAGGGCTATCGGACCAATTGGCTGTTTTGCTTTTTTATTGAAGATTTCTGGCAGTATATAGTAGGATACTGCAACTGCATTGGGATTTGGTTTAACTCTCAGAACAAGCTTACTACTACTAGGTAGATTGTTCAATTGTTATAGGCAGTATTTTTATTCTAGATGTTTTTAGAAATTTATATTGCCCTCTGGTTGGGAGAAACCATATGTGACATGATAGACATGTCATTTAATGACTAAAAGCTCCTAGAAAGGCTAGGAAACAGTTTGAGGGACTAAAAAAACAAGTTAGGCTAGATTGGATTATTGATTGTGTTAGTAAGTTAAATAGTAATCATGGATGATTTAGTTATATTTTATGTTACTTTCTGTCAGTTAATCAGTTCAGTGCTGCGAACATCAAGTTGTGTTCTTACAAAGAAATGTAGATGTGAAATTAGCAAGTAAGAGGAATTTATATTCAGATGAAGTGTATCTGTAAAATTGAGCCATTCAGTTTATATTGGTTACAGTAATTGTGGAACTTAAAGAAATAAAAATTTGTTTATCATTAAGTAAACCGGAAGGACAGATCCAACAATAGAAACAGTTTCAACAGCAACAGCTCTTAAACTGAAATCCATATTTAATACATGTAAAATGAAAGCTTGTACTTATATTTTAATGTCCTTCATTGTACATAAATGATGATAATACAAAACTAATGGTTACATGGAAATACAGGTGTTTATAGGTGTTGTGTTCACTGCAGGAACAGTTAACCTGTCCAAAGGTCATCTCAAGATGCTAGGTTTATCATTTTAATGGGAGTAATGTTAGTAGTGTTATGTAAGATAAGGAATTTGATATTTTGGTTGATCAGTCCCGTATTGTTTCTATAATTAGGTTGTATTTCCAAAAATATTAAATATAAGTCTAAAGAGGATATACTTTCATTGTATAGGCCACTGGTTGTAAGCTTCATATACACAAAAACTTCATTTTCCCTCCTCTCGTATGTATAGCTATTCTTGTTTAGCACTGCCCTCTATATGCAAAATTTGTTTTCGCATTCCATAAGCCTTGAATTCCCATGTACCTGATGGTCAACACAGATCAACTGCATCTCGCATTTAAATCATCATGTGACAACCCTCCACCAATAGGAGTGCGACACACCCTCTTGATGCATGCGACTCCCTTTGTTCAATTCTACCAAACTATCACTTCTTGTTAGGCAGTAATTGAGTGCAGATGTTTTTCAATTGTGCTCTTTTCACGTTTTCATTTAATTTTTTTTTTTGAAAAGTAGTGATTTACTTGATTTATTTCTTTGCTGCAGTTAGTTTTTTCTGTATCAGTTTGCCATGATAACTTACCCTTTTCATTGATTTTATTTTATTTTTCTCAATTTCACTTTTGTGTTCAACAACTTCTGATATTATTACTACTACTTTGAGTGCCATTACTGGCTTCTGGTCTGGGGGTCTAGACTGAGAATTTTTTGTCTATCATTCTTCAGGAGATTGATCATTATTTGAGGCGTTTTCTTTCTCCCAGCAATTTTCTGGTTCCTCCTGTATTGTCCAAACCTGTTCCTGGCAAGGAGGATTTTGACAGTTTTTTTTTCCTCCTCCTAACCATGTCATGCCTTCCCATGCATCTCCTAGGCCTAACTCTGCCTTTTTGGATATGCTTAGTCAGGTGTATTCCATTTCCTTGTTTTCACCATTTTCATATGATACTTTCCCTCCTCTTTTTTACATGACACCTGTCATTAGGGTCCATTGTTTTCTTCCTTCCCTTGACTTCAGGGTTTATGCTGAGCATTTTATTTCCCAGTTAAGGACAGGTGCTAGCATGCCTCATCTTCCATGGACTTCTGATCTTTATGCTCTGGCTCATTAGCAAGCTGATCAATCCTTTCTTACTTCCAGTAGTTGGAGTCAATCGGGGGCTGTCCCTTAGAATGCTATGTATTTCCATTTTTCCACCTTCGTCTTACCCATACAGTTCTTCTGTAGTACTTGTCCAACATACACCTCCTTTCTGAGGCATTCCAACAATCCCCTCCTTCTTCCTCCTTGGTGCTATTGTCCTCTTTTGGCTCTATCCCTTCACACTTGGTTTTGTTGCTGCTGGGATTGTATTTGAAGGATGCTGTCTTTTCACAGGTTCATCTACCTCCCTCTTATCTTCATGACTTCTGGATGGCCCCTCTTTTCTATTGGTTTGTTTTTGGAGATTTTCCAGAGTCTTTGGAATTATGTGTGGCCTTTATGAGTTCAAATTTGACCATTTTCTCTTTGATTACTTATTTTTCTCTTCTGATATCATGACCTCTCCCATAACTGTTTCTTGTCCTGCATTCTCCCATCCTTTACCAGTTCCTACCACTATGGGTGTAAAGTTTTGTTATGTGTCTCGAAGTCTGGTTTATTGTTACCAGCAGTTCCAGTGACTTTCAGATGGTTTCTGGTCTGGTGGGGGCATGTTTGGCCAATTGTGTTTCCCTGTGGTTGTTATTCATTACTGATTCTTGGGTGATCCAAATTTTGTCAGAAGGATTTTTCATCCTTTTCCTTTCCCCTCCACATTTGTCTCCTGTACTGATTTTTTTCCCATTAACTCAGAATCCAGCTCCCTGTCTGAGTATATCCAAGGTTGTGCTGACCCTCTATCACAGAAAGCTATCAAGCCTGTCAGCCAACCTCTTACAGGATTTTGCTCCAGGGTTTTTGGCCTGTGATCCATCTGTTCTGCCTCAACCAATTTCTGGTTCATCCCCAATTTTCCATGGAGTCCTTTATCACACTCAAGGGTTTTTTCTCTCCAGGAATATGGATGACCAAGGTAGACGTCTTGATTGCCTATCTCAATATTCATATTTCTCATCAGTCCAGATGCTATCTTCGGTTTGTCCACTATGAGGTTGTGTATCAGTTTCATGCCTGGTCTTTTGGGCTTGCCTCAGCATTATATGTATTTTATTGGGTAGTCACAGTTTTACCCAACTTCTGCATGCTCTAGGGTTGTGTTTACACCACTACATGGATGACTGGCTCCTGTTAGCTCATTCCAAACTGGAGTCTTCTCACCACACACACATCTGCTGCTGACAGTAGCAGCTTGTGTTGGTTGGATTCTATGCTTGGTGAAGTTTTCTTTTGCTTACCCACTATCTCATCAACTTGGGTGTGTTTTTCAACACCCCCTCATTTGGACCCACCCTTTTCCACTTCTGCATTTGCTAATGCTTTCAGTTCTTCATGCATTTAGTGATTTCTTGGTTTCTGCACAAAAAGTTCTGTTGGATTCGAGGACTTGGGCTTCTATAGCCCTTATTCTGTTGGGTTGGGTACATATGCTTTCTCTTCACAGTTCTCTGCACGGCCCATGGAATCTTGCTCAACATCCCTTGGACTCCCCAATTACCTTTCCTCCTTCCCTTCCAGAACAAGAACAGTACAAAGCTTCCTCCACCTTGTCCAGATTTACATCAAATCACAGCCGCTACTATCCAAGGTTGGGGAATGTTAGTCTGGAAAATAATCTCACATTGTAATGTCTTAACATTTCAACATCTTAGAGCTCATGGCAGTATGAGTTGCTTTGGTTCATTTTCTTCCACTGTTACAGTACCAACATATCATGCTCCATTATGACAATTCCACCATTGTGGTCTATTTCAATTGCTATGGAGGCACCCGTTACTGTTCCCTTTATGATTGAATATTGGATCTCCTTTATTGGGCCCATATGCTGTTGATAAATCTCCTTGTGTGTCATGTTCCAAATGCTTTTCACCTTGTGGTGGATTGTTTTTCAAAACCCAACCAGGTTTATCCCACAGAGTGGTTTCTCAACCCTCAGGTGGCTAAGCAGTCAGTGGGATACTCCTCATCTGGATGCTTTTGCCACTTGACTCCAACACCAAGTTACCTCTTTCTTTGGTCTCCAGTTCATCATCTTCAGACCCTGGCAGTGGATTTTCTCAGTCAGAACAGGACTAACCAGTTCCATTAATGTTCCTTCCAG